GCACCACAAACAGACGCAGTGTGCAGCTTCCTGTGGTTAATGAGCTGTAATTTGACAGCCCGGTGAATCTCCCATTATTTATAAAGCACAGTGACCATGCTTAGCGTTTCCTCAATGTAAAACATTATTTTTTGGACTCGAAAAATCTGAAAAAATAAAATTGGCTCTCAGAACAGGCAATAAATCAAATTCCTATTTTATGTATGCAATATATTAGAAGCAGATCACAAACCACAGTGTTGCAACTTACAACTGTTTCAGTAAGGAACTAAATTCCCAACAGAATTGTGTACAGAATTCTGATCTATCTCAAAAAACTACCATGTGTCTATAATGGATACAACGTCTCACAAGTGCTGTCCAAATGTGTTGCTGGAGACAGAGCAGGGCACTAAATCTCTGCTGGTTGCTGATGTTCTGCAGGGTGGGTTTTGTGAGGGGGACACATTGGGCATTGGGGTGCCATGCTAAAAGTAGATCTAGCAGAATCTTCACTTTAGATTATGCTTTGTCGTCTTGTGACTGCGTCTTGGGTAAGAGCCTCAGGCTATAGTGACACGATCTGTCTACTTCTCCTTCCAAGAAACCATACTCAACCTGCTGGAAGCAGGACAGACAATATTTTGTTTCAACCAACCAGCTGAGTGCTCTGTGACTGTGACTCTTTATATTCAACTGGGTGGTTGAAACAAAATCCTGGTCTGGATTTTTACTTTCTGGACCTGAACTATCCACCTCTGCCTGCAGAAGTAACTAGTTTGTGTCAAAATTGAAGTGGGAGCGTAATTTAAATCAAAAGGGTTCCCTTCAATATTTAAATTATATCTTTTTGGGTTCCTTAAACCATTCCACATTTCCAAATGATCGTTTTATAATTAGCTATTGTAAACGACTCCACATGAAGTAGAAACCCTCAAGTTCAACAGCCCTAGATGTGCCTCGCATGGGAATCACTTCAGAAGTGTCCACACAGCACATGTGAATGCCATCAGCCATGCATCTGTTGGTTTAAGATAAGACTAAAATAATTATATGTAAGAATAAAATTGTTAAAAAAAAAAGAAACACCTGGGGTTAAGTTTCAGCTCCAAGCCTCTGGCAGCGTTTTCGCAAATCCCCTCGAGCACTCGGGTAACGGTCTGACTGAAAAGGGGCTTTGTGTTACTGGCATCATCACGCCAGAGTCAGACAGTGTTCTGAAGTCGTATTAATGTGGAAGGGAAAGCGCTGCACGTGTGGGATCCAAATACGAGAGCAGAGAAGAGACGGTTGTCAAAGCAGGAGGAAATGCGCGTCTAGGAAGGAACCAAAACGTTAATTAATAACGAAGGAAATTCTGGTTCGGCGTCAACTGTGAGTTCGAGGCTCCTTTGTCTGCTCGCTGAAAGAGAACATTGTTGAGGATAAAAAAGAAAAAAACATGTATTTATGAATGCTACTATGTAAACTACGGAGACAAACACAGTGTCTGAAACACAAAACACAAGATCGCAGGCGGCCGACAGGAAGGGAGAAACACAAGCTGGAGGTAGCAGGCTGCAGCGAGGTGACAGGGAGGTGCCACAGGGAGGTGACAGGGAGGTGCCACAGGGAGGTGACAGGGAGGTGCCACAGCACAGCCCTCTGCCTCATATCCAGCTCTGCACATATAATATCCTCCTGCGGTCGCCAAGAATGTTCACCCAGGAAGCTTTATAAGTAGCCAGCCCCGACTTTGTCTTTCTAATTAGGTCTGGAGACACGCGTGGAGCAAGCCACACGACTCCTGGCTGCTAAGGCGATCGGGGGGGGGGGGGGGGCTGCGGTCTCCGCTAACCAGCCTGGAAAGAACAACTGTCTGCAGAAGTAAGTGAGGAGCCCTCGTCTGAGCCCGCTGCCCCCATCGTCTGACACGTGCCACGTCCCGACTGCAGTGGCGCACAGGATGCCAGCCCTCCGCTGAACCCGCTGCCAAGGACGCGTGGCCCCCACGGGTCCCTCATCCCATAATTCCCCGAAGCTCCCCCTTCGCCCCAAGGGCAGCAGAGAATCATGGGAAACGGCTGCTCGATGGTGCCGTTATTGCTGCCAGATGGTCTTAAACGAGGTGTGTATGAGCACATTAATGCCATCCGCTCCCATACCCACACACACACACGTGCACACGCACACACACACACGCACCCGGCACTTTCTTTTCAGCTCCGCAGTTTAGCTCCTTTTTAACACCAGAGAGACTTCAGGTCTAAATATCTGGGCAGGAATGACGTTTAAATCATCAAACAATCATGTTTTTAGTGGCCTTCTGTCTGTACAGAGGCTCCTCATTAGGGTAACCCCGTTGGACTGTTCTGGGAAACGTCGCATTTCATTTGAAAGAAAGAAGGGAGGGAAAAAACAAGACAATGAGTTATTGTTTAAGAGTTCAGCTAAAGTTTAGAAAAAAGTGAGAAAAAGAAAAATAGGAAAATGCTTATTAAACGTCAGAATAGTTTTTTGGGGGGCGGAATCCGATTCCAGTCCTGCTGTATTAATTGCACTTATTTTTCTAAAGGAAAAAAACCTGAGTCTCTGACTACGTGTAATTCACTGCAAGAAAGAAGCCCAGTATATCCTGTTAGGCTGGTCATCTATAGGAGGCTGTAGTAAAAAAGATTTGTGTACTTTTGTTATTATAGCAGTGACTCAGGAATGCTTCAGCAAATAAAGTGAAGTCTTAGTTCCTATATATGTACAAATGAGCACCAGAACGAAGCACTGAACTGCCTGTATTGACTCAGTGATCTCACGCTCAGCCATGATAAGAATGCGAGGCAGTCTCGTAAAACCTTCAGAAAACTGAAACGCTGTGAGACCTCATTTTACCGACTGATTCGATTAATGTTCAGCAGCTTCATTTCACCCTGCGTGAGCACAGCAGGGACCGCTTCTTCTATGATTCGTGGGAATATGAGAATTTCTCATATTTGATTTGAAGACTTGAGTCACACCAAGGAATTATGAATTTATGATGCTCGATAGGTGCTTGTCTTGGTTATAACCCCATGGAGCACACTGGGGATAGATTCACTCATGTGCCGCTACGAGTAATTGTTTGCCTGTTCTGATCCCAGCATCACCAAGCTGAAGCGCAGAATCCAGAATTCCAGAATCACCATCTCCCATTCCTTAACCTGTCATATAACTCCATTCTAAGTCAGAGGATCCCTCCACTCCCTGTTTCTCAAGAATACAGAGGGTCCGATCTGCAAGGTGGACCATTCTTTTAACAGCACGTTCCCCTACAGCTAAGGAGGGCTAGCAGGCATCAACATCGGGCCTCATCCACCTCATGGTCTCTGGTAGGGGGGGGGGGGGCACATGAGCTCGGTGGAGCATTTCTTCTACCTTGAGTGACCTTCTCTTCTCGTCTACTTGAGCTGCAGAAGTCCTTCTCCTGAGAATTTGGTAGACTACTAAGGCTCCGTCAGGATTTTTCCCTCTTCATCCAAGTTGATGATGAAGATGATGATTATACCATGCACCCCAGTGTGAACGCCACAAACACTCTGTAAAATGCTTCTGAATGACTCCGTTGTGCTAACTTTAACGGTTCTTGGATGGACAGCATTCTACGTGATTAATTACACCTTTTCTTTGCCTTCCTTTCCTTCATCCACAGAGGTAAACGCCAAGGTATTTGTGCTGTGTTTTGCAGCGCTTGTTTAATTTCCTCAGTCACCGAGGGAACCTGGTTTTGAATTGAGTCGACGGACATAAGACCGTGTCACATGGCACGAGATAATCTTCTGGGGGAATCACAGATTACAGACAACACTAATAGCTAATCCACTACACTGTTTTTGACTACAACTACAGCCAACACCTTAAAGCAATTTTTTCCCCTGTCACTCACATAAGCCCTCACTTTCACTGGCATGTGTGGATGCAGACGCCATAACTTATTAAACAAGTAGTCTATCCTGGTGTCTGTGGACTTAAGTCCCCCATTAGCCTTCTTGGCTATGTGACAGCTGCTAGCACGTCTAACAGATACAAATAGCTGGACATTTATCTTCTGCACAAAAATCTATTTAAATGCAGAAAATTTTAACAGCTTGTATTCATATGTTACATATCAGAAAGTTCATATAATTTTTTTACTTGAATGATGTTAAAAAGAAAAAAAAAAAAGAATCTTATACTTAATTAGTCAAATAGCTAATTACCAGTCTGCTAATGGAACTGAATTTTGCTTTATCTCTAAGAGAAGAAAGTTCCGGAAACAGTACTCTCCTTTGGTCTATTTTATCATTATTTCAAAATTTGTGTAAATACAAGTTGGAGAAAAGTGACGTATCTACTTGGTAGGTCCAAGACATGAGAGTTCACATATTTTACAAACGCGGTTTTCAAGAGGATGGATGGATGGATGGATGGATGGATGGATGGATGGATGGAGAAAGCAAACAGCACACAAATATTTCTGGAGTTTGACAGACTTCATAAAAGCCATGTGGGATCACGATGACTTCATACAGAGCCTGTCACAGTATGAGAGCAGTCAGCAGAAATGATGCAATTCTGCTAAGCAGTGCCCAAATCCACCCTGCAGCCACACGTTTATAACACACACACACCTCTGGCTGCTCTTCCCAACCCAATGGCCTCAGGGCTGTAGGTACAGGCGAGCTAAGCAAAGGATCCAGAACGACTACAGGCGCATGAAGACGAAAATCAGCTGTAGGGATTGCGCTCCTGGGCCATGAGTTGTGACTTGTTCACAGTGAAAGGTGGTTAATAGTTCGGCGCTAATGCTGAGGTCAGTCCTTCCTCTGGGCAGTAGATGGCAGTATTGCACAAGGTGAGACTCGGGCAGCCTTTAGTTATACATTAAGCGATCAATGTATTTTTAAAAGCATTTACAGCTGCTTAATGAACTTACTAACAGCACTGTCCACCACCAATAACCAACACTTACAGTCAGTACCCTGGCCTGCCAGGGACAATCATATGCTTGCCAGAACATTAAAACATCCAAAAAAAAAAAGTCACTTTTTTATTTTTTAAATGTTCAGCCCTTTACAGCCATTCACATCCCCGACAAAAGGGCCTCGGACTCAAGTTTTCCGCTGATGTGTAACTGAAATTATGAGACAATTACAGAGGCGCAATAAACAAAAAAGGTGTTGGAAGTAACAGCTGATTTTTCATGGGTGAATAAGGACGGTTAATTAGTCTAAGACTAACCAATCCAACTCTTACAAGCAAAAGCAGTAGGAAGGAGGGCCTTTCACAGGGGTTAACATTACTTAACTGTTACCAGATTTATGTTTTTTTTTTTTTTTCTGCTTTAATTACTGGCAATGTGCTACAAATTTCTCCCTGAACTCAAATTACAGACTCTTTGTGAAGCTTGTCAAAGGAGCTGTGATAGTGTTCTTTAAGTGCGGGAGGAGCTCGCAGCGGGATGCGAACATGCTGGCTGCACATTGCTTCCCATGCGACGTCCCGTGTCGCATGTGTGCTGCAAACACTCCAGCTTGCAAGATGTACAGAGCCACTGCGCTGAAACAGTGATGCAAACGACATACATTTAGTTTGGGGGGAAAACTACAAAAAGTGGTTTTTAATCCCCTTCCTTCAACTGAGGGAGCCACTCAGTTAAGCTGAACAAGCCAGTTTTGCAAACAGTTAAACAGTTTATTGTGATGAATAGTGGAGTCCAGTTTGATGGCTGTTCTGAAGAGAAGCGTCGTGATTTGATGTGAGGTCCCAGCACTGCGATGGGGTCTTTAAAGTCCTCTGTCTACCTTAAAGGTTACAGACACAGTCTGTGTCTGTATAGCATACAGCACACTGGTACAAACCCTCCTTTGTCTAGACCATGACTCATCGGACGGGGGAGGGGGAACTTGGGGTGCGATGCCAGGGTGAGGAAAGGGGCGGAGCTGCTGTCATGGTTGAGTGACTGGAAGGGGGCGGAGACTCAAGACATGGTGATCTGCAGGGACTCCAGCATCTCCTCCACGGCCTTGACGGAGCACTTAGTCCCCTTCGTTCCCCGACCTGCCAGCTGCCACAGGAGAGGGACGACATGTCAGCTCTTCACCCATTCCAGCATCGCACGTTACCACGGACGCATCATTTAGCTGTAAGACACGTCCACAGCCTTTCTGTAGTGATCCATTAGATGCTTAATTGCCATTTCATGGAAACAAAACTGTACTTGTCTTCCTTGAAACATTTGCCATGCATAACCCTGAATATTTTACAGGAAGAGGACAGCAGGGCAGCTAATGTACTCGACCTCAGTCTACTCATCGGAATAACGGTCAATATGGAACATAATAGCTTGTATTATGAAAATAGGCACCAATTAAACACGATCGCTAACGAAGAAGAGAATGGCATGGATACGCCTGGAACGTGACGATGCACGGAGGCTGCAGAGCCCATCCTCAAATCGGACCATTGTGACCCAGTGCTACTGGCACCCCACAGCACACGACCCTAAACGGTTGGGTTGAGTCATGCAGAAGTGCTGCACAAAATGGCTATGATGCCGTCTCAGCGAGGCATAGCGACAGCCTCCCCATGAATCAGAATGCGGCATCACGGCAAGACCAGACGTGCCAGAGAGCTCCGTAACAGGCAAGCTGATTCACCGAGGGCCTGGGTCACTAACATCCCCGCAACTGGGTCACTAACATCCAAGCAACTGGCAATAAAAATGGACTTTGTATCAATGGCAGCTTCTCCGCAAAATCATTTAAAAACCACTGCAGTCAGATGTTTCATGGAGAACAGGTGAAGTGTGACTCATTCCGGTGCGTCCCAGCACTGGCTCTGGAACACGGTGACCCGGAATGGTTAAGCACAGTTGGCAACTCATGGGTGGGGAAAACTTTAAAGGCCATCATGGAACATAAAAGAGCGGCATCCCTACAATCTTCCTGCTACAAATCAATGCTGTTCTCTCTCTTCGATTAATTCTAAAATATTACTGAGATTCAGTTCATCTAACCTCCATCAACATGAGCCCAGCTGCACAAATGTTAGATGGTGATGTAACATCAATGCTGGTGGCCAGACTCCCCCCCACTGCATCCCCCGCCCCCACATCCCCCACAGCAGAGATCATGTGCTCCTTGACCTGAACTACCTCCACGGCTCCTTCTCCAAACCAGAGCAGAGAGCAGAGCCATTTTGTTTTAATCCTGTGGCCATTAATTCCTCCTCCTGCTACCTTTTCAGAGGGAGGTGCGGAAGTTCCCAGCAAACAAGGCAGAGCAGCCAGGACCTAAGGTAACTGCCCGATAAGGCTGCCGGTCTGTGTCTGTGACCAAACACTGGGCCTTTTCTTGCAAGCCCTCCCCCTCTCCTCAGCGCCGCCAGAGCGTGAGTGCGACAGCTTAAATTCCACCCCAGGCCTTGGGAACGTGCAGATACACATCACTGAGGCTTTACCAGAGCGGGTCAGGAGTACCCCCTTCATAGAGGGAGAGGAAGATTTGTCTTCTAAAAACCTGAGTAATGAACTCAAACTTAAAGGATTTTACTTTTTTTATTTTTTTGTTTATACCCTGCTTCGTTTTTGTTATTCAAAGTTTCATTAAGTCCAGATTTTTAATACTTTGGGACCACCCAAGTGGCTGAGATGAAAACGGGAGAGTAGCGTGGGTCTCGCAGAAGTTTAGCATGACTTTGGTATGGCTCCCTACACATTGAGAGACAAACCCCAACACACAGGAATGCCTTCACTCCTGACTGTCTACCTTACGCAAATACTGGCTGCTCCATAGTCACATTATGTGAAGGTACTGGGGTCTGTTCTGACAAAACACTGATAGCTGAGTTGACCAGAATTCCAAGCAAACATAAGGAAAAACTGACAAGAAGGGGAAAAAAGCCTAATGGTATGATGAGCTTCAAGTCAGGATAAAAAAAATCAGATAAAACACTCAATATCAAGTACATGGGGATATGAATGTACGGTGTGTGAAAAATAAAGTTCAGCCTTTTTCAGTTCAATAGTTTTATGTACCGGGACGTAACTACAGAATTATATGGTCCTTACCAGGTCCTAAAATTAGGTAATTCTAATCTCAGTTGATGAGGAACACATGAGGGATTCTGCCATAATTTAACAAAAAAATAAAGCCAACATGCAGAAACCGTGTGTGAAAGAACAAACACAGCCACGGGTGAGTAGCTTGATGCTGAGGTTATTATGCAGTGTTCTCTAAAGCTCCCACCACAGCATCTTAATGGGGTTGAACTACAGACCTTGACTTGGCTGTTCCAGAACCTCGATTCCACTCTTTTCCATTCACTTGTAGATCTGCTGGGTGCCTGGGATCACTGTATGGTTGTATGACCTAATTCTGGCCCAGCTTTAGCTGCCGGACAGATGGTCTCACATTTGCCTCTAGAACACTCTGGTATAAAGAGGAATTCATGGTTGAGGAGATGGCTGCAAGGTGTCCTGGATCTTCAGGATTCATAACCCATTCACCCCCATGCCTGACAACTGCTATGAAGTGCTTGTTTATTTGGTTTGTGCTAAACGTTGTGCTGTGTGGCTGGACCAAACATCTCAAATTCAGTCTCATCCACCAAAGGATGCTTCCAGAAAACTCAGTTTATTCAGATACAACTTTGCAAACCTAAGCTGTGCTGTCAAGTTCTTTTTGGAGAAGAGGCTTTATACTGACTACCGATCCACAGAAGCCATACTTGTTCAGTGTTTTTCCTCACAGTAGTTATGAACTTAACATCTAACATGCTAACTAAGGCCTGCAGATCCCTGGATGTAGCTCTTGGGTTCTTTGCAATTTCTCTGCCATTTGTAAATAATCCCTTCCACTCCAGAATGATAGATTTCTAACAATCAGAATGGCCTTATAACTCTTCCCAGAAAGCAACTGCGTCTCTGAGGTCACTGCTGATGTCTTTTCTCCTTGACATGGTGTTAAAATAAACCTGAAGACTCCAGACCGATGAGCTGCCAGAACTCCTGCTTTTAGAGGCGGTCACACTTTCTGATGATAGACTAATCAAATACATTTTATTAGTTAGTGTCTGGCTGCTAATTAACTTCTTAATTTCTATGGAAGCAGCAAGAGTTTATGTACATATTCCCACAGGACCTCTCCTGTTCCGTTTGCCTCTAGTCGAATAAGTAACAGCATAGTGAAACTGTCATGTTATCAGGGGCTACATTTGTCTATTTTTAGACATTGTAGTCATGGAATGAGATGGTTGATGATAATGTGCCAACAGGTAAAAATCATATTGGCTTGCTTTCTTTTTACGTCACTCTACGAGGGCATTTTAAAACGCAAAACGGTAACCTGAAAGCTCTCAGAAATGCACGGTCACCTAACAGCTATCTCAGTCACACCAGGGTGATCAGATAACAACAGACAACATCTACAATTGAACACTACAAAAGAAAGCGGGTGATGACCAGTGACTGGATGGAGAGCTCCATGATTTGGCAACAAACACAGGAGCACAAGCCGGTCTCCGAGTCCATTCTGATGAGCCCAGATGGGCAGCGGGGACCTTTGCTGGCAGTCAGAGACACATTAAACACTAGTTTATGCTCAGCACACCACAGAGAGAAAATATCTGCAGAGTCCACGTTATTCAATGTAAACCACAAAAAGCCACGCCCAGCCAAGGTTAGGGGCGGGGGATGGGCACACTCTCTCACCTGATAGGCTCTGTTGATCTGACTGGCGGCCCAGGCGGCGTACCTCACGTTGTCCTTCTTCACCTTAGCACTCACTTTCGGACTGGCAGCAATGTGGCTTGCAGACTGGAGAGGGAAGTGGGAGGGGGTGGGGGGGGGGGCATTAGGACCGTCCAAACTGCAGCAGTAAAAGACCACAAGCATTGAACGGGCCTCCAAGAACTGCCACGGAAACTGCCGGGTGACACATTTATGGAGGCAAGCATTACAGAGGGAATGCAGCACACCCCCCCACCCGTTCCAGGCTGGGAAAAAAATAATAAATTAACGAAATTTAATCAGAGCTGGCTTCCCTAGTCATTCCGTCGTCGACGTCTGTGCTGACAGGCTATGCGGCGAACAGAGCGACATGTGAATCATGCTCTCCAGCCACGAAAGAGCTGCTCAGCCAGCCACAGGCCCGGCCCGAGGGTCCGCGCTCACGGGACATGAAAGGCACCCCGGGGCCCGCTGAAGCCTTAAACACAGTGCCGACAGAGAGCCTCGCCACGGGCCGGGCCGGGCCGCGCGTGTCCCAGTCCCTCTCACCGGCTACCACTCGCTCAAACTGCATGGACACCGAAATAACACAGGCCACACGTTTGTACTTATACCTAATAACATATCATTATAATGCACAGGCAGATCGACGCTCAGAAATAAGCTGCCCCACAAACCTCTACGTTAGACATTATTCGTGTCGGATTTCCCCTCCATACCATTCAGGACACCTGACAGCAAAAAAAAATACATACTAGCGTAACATACTAAATACACATTAAATGAAAATTTTCATACATTTTCAATTTTATATTAGGGCTGAGGTTGTAGCTTGCTGAAATTTTCTGTGCAAGTCTGTTTTTATAAAACCGCCTGCATTATAATTACTTCTGTAGTACAGCAGGCTTCCCTTGCCGCAAATAGGAAGCGCTTCACCTGAAACGAATGCAAAAGCCGTCAGTGCAACTAGCAGACTGACTCAGAGCTGACCCCGGGGCCGCTAACCCGCTGACCGTGACCTAACACGGGGGACTGTGTCCAAGCCAATGTGGGGACCCTGGGGCCACTAACCCGCTGACAGTGGCCTAACACGGGGGCCTGCCTCCGAGCGAATGCGGGGCCCCCGGGGTGCCACCTGACCCTGCGACATCAGGAAACCGCAGTGCACTTCTGCATCACATCTTTGTCCGTTACCCTCCGTGTGCGCTCTGACGTCGGGCTGAGCGTAACCCACGCGGTGTCGTCAGTGGACGGTTTAAATAAATATACAGGCGAAAGGAATACTGACATAAGCAGACCCATGCCCGAGAAACGAGAGCCCGACCTAAGGGCAGTTTGCTCAGACACTGATTTATTTAGCTTAGCCATAAACATGAAAGGACACCATAAAGCCAGCATATAAGGAAGAAAGGCTTTACCAAGAGTGAGCTGTGAGTCAGCGGTGACTAACCCTTTCTGCAAACAGTCACTACAGACAAACTCTGCATCAGTGGATGGACCCGCGGCGTGTTTCTCGCCTCACCATGTAGAACCCAAACAGAGCTCTCATGTTTCTGTTGTTGAGCTTCAGAGCCTGAGCGAAGTACTTCCGGGACAGCTCCAAGTTGTCGAGTCCGCCCTGAGTGTACTTCACCTGCGAGGGGCACGGGAGGGTCAGAACCCAAACGTCGTAACGGATGGACGCAAAAATGGCGAGAGGTGGCAGGACGGATTGCTCGGCGGCGCCGGGCCGGGCCGGGCCGGGCCGGGCAACACCTACCTCAGCATACTGCTCACAGTACAAGTGATTGTGGGGATTCGTCATCATCAGCTCTTCCAAGCAAAACGCAGCCTTGGCGTAGCTGGGGGGGTGGGGGGCACAGAGAGAACAGGGCACGGTGAGCCTGGATGTACTTTACGCTTTGCTGTGCTGGACAAACAGACCCAGACCATCACACAGCCATTCCGACAGCAGTCCACACTAGCAACCATATTTTCCCCTTTTTGTTGGTGACGACGGGGGAAGCCCTGTGAAATCGAAATGTTTCCTAGACCCCATGCTGCTGGTTCTTATTTTATTTTTCCTCAGGGGTGGGAGGCTTCAACACTTCCTCCTTAAGACTCCTGCTCAAACTGTCCTCCAGGGCTCCGAGATGAGATCACTCTAAGCAGAGCCACTGACCTCATGTAAATCTGCCCCGATTCGGTGCCTGGTGCACTGGGCAGGAAAGCCCCTCGTCACGGAGAGGACCGCCTGGCCGCCCGACGTCTCAACAGGACGTTTGACGTGCAAATGTGCCGCATGGAGCTATAAAACCAGAACGAGCGACGAGTGAGTCAGGGGCAACTGCGCTTTACGGTCGTTAAAAAAAAAACGAACGCAAACATACACGGGAGCGTGCATAATGAACCACATGAGCTGTGTTTTCAGAGGACGGATATTAAAACAGGTTTTCAGCTTGTGGCCCCCTGCTGCTTACAGATGCCTCACGCGACCGCAGCGTTACGGCTGCCGTCTGTGAAGTATGCTCCCTTGGGCTTCACAAGGCACAGTCGCCCACACACCAGAGACTCCACACTAGGCGTTAAGGCTAAGGGCTAAATGCTAAAGGCTAAACGCTTCACACTAGAGGCTGAATGCTATGTGCTAAAGGCTTCATGCTAAGGGCTAAAGGCTGAGCGCTAAGCTCAACATGCTAAGGCCTGAAGGCTGATTGCTTTATGACATAAATATTGCCAAACAGAAAATGTGCCCAAGTACCACCTCCTGGGGGTGACGTATCACCATGGGCCTGGGAAAGTGGGGGACAGGGGGGCTACACGTCACCCCGAACCGCGCCGGCCCGCCTCTCGCCCGCCGCCTGCGTCACGGTGTCACTGGAGACGAGTGGGCTATCTGTGCGCTTGGAGCCTGAGCCGCCCGCTTCAAAGGGCGGCCCGGCCGCTCGGAAGGCTGAGGGCTGCTCCCCATTACCACATCCCCTCCTTAAAGGCTTTCAGATGTGCCTTATCTGAGCGCGCGGCACCAGCCCCCCCCCCCCGCACTGCCATGCCCCGGTCGACAGGGCTGAGGGGGCCGACACCCAATCACATGGGGCCTCCGATTCGGCCTCTGCTCACCAAAACACATCCAACCTCCCGGCACAAAGACGACAGCAGCCAATAAACGCCAAAGGCGCTTTGTGTCTAACGGCCCGGGCTCTCTTGGGGAGTTACGACCACCTTCTCCCGGGAATCAAGCTGGGACAGCTTCTCTCCGTGGAAACCACAGGCGATAATGCCTCACCGTCCGGGGGGGGTACATCTATAGATACAGACTGGGGATGAATGGCACAATATTAGAAAACTTGAGCTAAGCTCCGGGATAATCCCCTCGCCCTGGGATTTCCTCTGACCAGAGCAGCAATAAAATCTGTGACAAAAACATTAAATATCCAATAATAAACCTCTTACTGCCGCGGGCATTCCTGGTGCCCCCCCCTCCCTGCCGAGGCAACAGCGAGGCCGCCTCCCAAGGCCGGCCACCGACTCCAAGCCCCAAACCGTTATGAGGGATTAAAAGTGACACAAACAAAATGATTTTCTTACCACGCTCTTGTTCCGCAGACAATTCACCCTGGCAACTGAGATGTCAGCGTGAGAAGCGGAGGGCACTTTCTCGCACTTTCCTGTCCTGCCTGCGCACGGGGCTTTGAACGAAAGCCCATTATACCCTGATCCCGTGTGACAGACGCAGACAATGGCCGTCACTATCCCCCTGGGGGTCTAGCATCCCCCCCCCACCCCCAAACCACTAAGCTTCAGTCCGGCTCCAAGACAACCTGGGTGGGGTAGAGTGGTGGCGGAGGTGACTTACAAGCACGCCTAACCGACCAGTGCGGGCATCTCCCAAACCGAGAGGGTCACTCCAGTAAATGGATAAGCCTGTCAGCGACGTGTGACATTGGCCTTTCCACGTTTGGCCATAGAGGCGACTCCCCTGAAACCCGGAGAACTGGGAGTCGGCCCCCAACCCTGCTGCTACCGCACGAGTCACAGCGCACGAGTCACAGCGCCCGTCACACAGCGTGTCGGGCCCAATCTAGCGGGGGTATAAAATCAGAAATAAACTCACTCATGCTCGTTGATGTAGAGTTCTGAGAGCTCATGCCAGGCCTCCTGGTCACCAACAAACCTGCGAGGGGGGGGGCAGAGAGACAGACAGGCAGGTCCGGCTCACGCTGGGGGCGGAGTTGGATCAGCTCAATGACATGCAAAACCTCTTTTAATTAAAAAGCACCGGGAGAGAAAAGGGCCGCAAGACACTGACTGCTCCAGATACTCGTTGAGGTCCCGGATGGCCTCGGGGCTCTTCCCCTGCGCTTTCAGCATGGCCATCTTGCGCTTCCTCGCAGCCTGTGGATTGACATTAATAGAGGATTAAGGTCTCAGCATTTCAAGTGTTTGTTAAGGGGGGGAGGGTGACAGACAGGCTGCGCAAATGATCTCAGTGGTCTCTACACCAGGGGGGTGTCATCAATCTAACCATCCATCCAACCACCCTCCCTCTCCGAATTCAGACTACACACAATGCTAGCCAGAGCTTCGATGTGGGGGCAAATGACAGCATCGCACACACGAATAAGGCACAAAGCTCGACACCACATCATCATAATCATCATCATCATCATCATCATTCCCTTCTAAACCCATATAACCTGCCATTTACTCAACAAGGTACAACCCCAGTGCTCCATCAACATGCCGGACAGGACCCTGGTACCCTCAAGGAGAAAGACAGAAGGCAGGAAAGAGCAACAAAACTGTGCTGCATCCTTCAGCAAGTGAAGGAATGAGGCCGTTTGCCGAGCAGAAGCGGGCGGCAGTGTCACCAGAGCTGTCCCAGAGTAGGAGCCCCAACAGCCCCCACGACCCGCCGCCGACCCCAACACGCCCAGGCTGACCTGCTGCCTCCCTCGGGGCGCGTCACAGAGCACGTGGAAGAGGACGCGAGCTGAGTGCATTCTCTGCGGGACCCCCACCCCTAAAGTCATGCCAGCGTCCGAACGGGCCGGGAAGCTGTTTAGATCACCCACACTGCGGAAGGGGGGGGGGGCGACACTTTGGTCTCTGCTCAAGGGAGATGTTCCTGGGGGCATTCACGAGGGGGGGGGTGACCGGGAACACCTGAGCCCAGGTCAGTTAAGGTGTAATTAAAGCAGCCCCCAGATTCCGATCTTGCAGTCAGCGGCTTTGAAACGACGAATACCTGGAATATGGGGGATCTGGGCAAACTGAGCACATTCCAAACATCATAAATAATATTGGGTAATATTTCAATATTATTTATATGTAAACCTGACACAGGAATCAGGCAATCCTCCACCCAATAATGGCAGTCAGTAGTGAGCTGGCGGGGGTCAGGGTGGGGGGGCAGATTTAAGCTCGGGATACTTTGAAGAGGTTCCACTGAAAGATCCAGCAAATATCAGGCTTTTTACGACTCTTGGACAATGAAGGGCAGCCATCTGTGGAGACGCTGCTTCCGCGTCTGGCTCCCTTCCACGGGGATGAAGCAGCCTAATCCCTTCTGGATTAGGAACAGGATTATTTCACAGGATCCCCTGTTTTAATAACACCAGTACATCATTAATGTGACTACAGGTACAAGCAGATGCTGACGGAGGAACATTTTCCAAAAAGACTGTTTGTACAAAGGCGAGCCCCGCCGTACACCCCCACAGCGAGACACGCCAGTCTTCAATCATCCAGCACGGGCCATATCCTCCTGACTTCTCAAACTATTTTCACTGCGCTCCAAATTGTGAACATGTGGATTTTTCCCCTTGTGTGCCGAAGAACAGGACAGCACACACACTTCCACTGCAGGTCCTGCACTTGCCCCCCCCCCCCCCCCCCCCCAAATCCCTAAAAGAATCCCTTGAGGCACGGACAAACATATGGAAGTAGGCAGGTCGGATCATCCCACGGCACTTTATTAAAAGCGGACTTGTTCCAAACCGCTTCTTTTTAAACTAATGATCCAAACGCTGGCAAGAGCACCGGTCCCCCCCAAGTCCCCCTGATTCTTTTTTAATTACCATTTGAGGGCGGGGGGTGGATGGGTGGGAGAGGGGACCCGGCTTCTCGTGCCCCACTGCCCCCGGCCTCCCGAGCCCCAGGGCCCTGCCTTGCGCTGGCCGTTTCCGTGGACACGGAGCTCACGTGCCCGCTCACCACGCTGGGTGTGTGCACGGCCGGCTCACAGAGACACGTGGCTGTCCTGCGGAGAGGCGTATGGTGAAGCCGTCACCCCCATTTCAGTTTAGGCTGGTTTACTGCATGCGTGTTGTTAGATCCGATCAGTCAGGGCTGTAGCCCCCAGTATTTTAGCCCCGATACCAAAAAAAATTAGAGTCAAGCACCCGGTAAACTTGACTTCATTTTTTAAATAGCTAGAAATGCCCCAGGTTCACAGCTTGTGCCCGTTAGTGGTTAGCCGTTTTGGCTAACGGGCACACTCACTGCCCAGTCAGCCGTCAGGGGCTCCAATCGGGAAGCTACAAGCACAGCATCTCAGCCTGGCAGAGTCTGGAGGTGCCATGTGGCTGAATGCAGCCCCTTTCCAGGCAGCACAGGTGACGGCTGGGTGATGGTTTAACATGGAAAACACACAGGAGAAACCCGGTGGTGCCTCTTTCAGGACATGCTGCCGTTAGCATGCAAATAAAAGCGTCTCAGCTGAGAGCCACTGAAAGGCGTATAACAGGCACTTGGACCATCAAATCATCCTCATTCGCCTTCCTGATTTTCAGAAGGAACACAGGTACTGATACTCAATAGAAGGTGTCAGAAAACAGTTTCTATCCCTCCAGTTTATGGTACAGATATTTTTTCAGCACTTTGCAAGGCCTCAAAACAGCATGGTTATTCAAATCACGGTCCTCGAGGTCCGAGTACTGCTGGTTTTCCAGCCTTCCTTTACCTGTGAGCCAGGTGTGAAGCCTCTGACCAATCAGAATCAGATATTAAACTAACTACCTGGGAGAACTGAAAACAAGGCCTGGATTTGGAATCGAGGTCCAGATTTGAAGAACCCTGCACTACAAGAACCCTGGATGAGCTTTGTCTGTTACGGCAATGAGCGAGCGTGAATGAGCCTGCCAATCATCCACGCCACTGAGCGGCTTAATGACACGCGCTATTCCTACGCATATCCTGTCCTACAAAGTAACTATGCTAAGAATCCGACACATAATTAAAACAACAGGTCACAATGTGTGCACTTATGTAGACAGAGAGAAACAGGAAAACAAACAGAAGAAACCCTTCGGCATCATCAGAGTAGGTACTGGATCTTCGACGCTGGAGGCCTATGGGTTCGAACATTTTTGGACGTCGCCGCGGCAAAAAACCTTGAACAATTTCTGTTGATTCAACAATTTTGGTTAATAGGTCCCACACACATTCCCGCAGCCTGTAATTAGAACAGCTCAGTTTCGGGTCTCCTGCAAGAACGGGTCCCCGCAAGCCGTCCGCCGGCTCGCCAACTTTCCATCAGCCACCTCCCCCGATTCCCCTATGGGACATTTCTTTCCAGGACCTATAAAAGCCTTGTTGAAGGAGGATGACTGCTACTTAATGCCCCCCTTTAAGACAGGTGGCCTGGTGATGTCAGTGGTGAAGATGGGGGGGGGGGGGGTTCTCATCCCGCCCGCTGCACTCGCTGTGACGGACGACCCCGGGGATGATGGGTGGCGAATCCCCCCCTCCAGTCCCAACCCTTCCCTGAAGCACGCCAGAGTACCTCCACCCGACAAAACAAGTACAAACGTCTTTCCCACATGGGTTAGTGGAGGGAACCCCCATGTTCCCATAAGAGGGAAGGGGTTTGTTTCTGTTAAAAAAGGGCAAGGCTACTCTGGGTTCTCCATCAAGTCTTATGCAATCTACCATTTTTAAATCCACAAACTTTCTCGCCGGAAGGAAATCCTGCAGAAAGTCATTACACTCCATCCCGTAACGTTAATGACATGGAAGGGGCCACCTGGCATTGTTCTGCGACCTTGTGCTTCTCAGACCTTAAAAATTATTTCTGCCCCTTAGTTTTCATAAGGACATTTTTGCATAATGGCGAATTATGTCCGTATTTAGCTTGGAAGGCGGCTGAATGCAGAAAGCGGGGCTCCCGAGGGCAGCTATCGTTTCCATGCCTCAAACCAGCCTTTGTGAGCCTTAAGAGATTCCAGGGAGGCGCGATTACCAGGCTTCCAAAATAATTTGACCGCACCGCTGAAGACATCCATTTGTGCGCACCCCCCCCCCCCCTCCATTTACACTACGCAATGTGCTTGCAATTTAGCTCGGCTCACAGGAAATGGTAGCATTTCTCAGCTGAGACACATGGAAAACAAACAGAGTAGACCTCTCATCTTCTGCAGCCAAACACTGGCAGCTTCAAACTACCTTCCACTTGTCAAAAAAGATGTACGTTCAAAAAATAGAGGTGGCGCCACCTCTTGTCACGTGACCGTTAGCGATAAATAACCCAGAGGACGACTGGCGACCGTGTTTCACTCCGTGGAGGGCAGAGAAGGTGCCGCAGTCATCAGAACCAGTCAGTCAACTCTGCCGGTCATTTGTCCAAAATGGGGCTTTTGGTGCCGTGCAGAATTCCCGTGGGGCCGCGCGGGAGAAAGACGCGGGCCCCCGCAGACCGTCCACTGCGCCCCAGCAGATCCTTGAGTCCACGCAACCCAAGAAGCCGCCGGACGCCCTCAGGGCGCCAAAACAAACAAGTCCGCGGCTTCTTCTGAAAACACCTTTAGACGTTTATTTTCCTGCATAGCCGCATGTCCTTATGGAAGCGATTAACAGCAGGTATGGAGTATTTCTTGGGGTGGGGGGCTGGCGAGAGGCTGAATAAATACGAATACCGCTGTGTTTTTACACCGAACCTCGCTGGACGAGAGACACGAAATTGATAGCCTACAAAAATGAAACAACAGAACGAAGAGACTGAGGAGGGCCGACGTGTGGCCAGAAAAGACCCTAGGCTGGCTCTACAAATGGACCTTCAGCTGATCAACCGACTCCATCAAGACCAGCTTCTCAATTGACAGGGATGAGGACAGCGGTACTTCTCTGCTCCTCAGCTGCTGTCAGACAGTAAAGTAAATCAAGGTTCCAGTGTAAAATATTTACTTTTTCTCCAGCGCTTGTGGACACGCAGGACAGTCCACGAGGCCATAAATCTCTCGTCTTCTGAACACTGAGACAGATGTGTGCGTACAGCGGTTGGTCAGCAGTTTGGATTAAGACCTCAGGGAAAATAAAGTTGAATCCAAAAAAAATATAAAAAAACCCACTAATTCGTGATCAGCTGCAGATGTAAAGAACTGTAAAAAGGCCCTTTCAGTACAGTGAAACCTCACCAAAAACAGGAGGAGGCGAAGGTGGCTTTTACCGTGTTAGTTGGGTCGTCTTGTAATATGGAATCATACAGCTTGGTGGCATCTTCATACCTTAAACAGAGAATAAATGAAAGTTAAAACCTCCAACATTTCAGCAATCAATGCACACAGTGATCACATGGTGAAGTCAGAATGATCTGAGAAGGATGATTTGCAGACGACTAGGTACACATGCAGTGAGAAGAACAGAAACAGATACACCGATACAGATACACTGCATTACAACTATTTGTTCCTGAAGAAAAACTAATTTTCCCCGGAGATTACAGTCTTAGAACTTCATCTCTGAATTTAAAAATGTCATGAAATCTTGCAGGGGGTCACATTCATGTATACGTCAAATGTTTTCTCCCCGCACGGGGGCGGGCCCAGACAACCCAAAACCCACTCCCAAATAAAAGGGAGCGCAAACCGCTTTCTCCCTGGGGGAGGCGGGGGAATCCCCAAACGCAGATGGGAAAGGACAGCAAGGAGGGCCTGACCTGACGGTTCCCCCCCCCCGTCAGCGGGGAACAGTGCGATCCAAAACAAACAGGCCAAGCATCTGCTTACCATGGTGTCACCCCCCCGTGCGGTTAAGCCGGCGGCTACCGGAGAAGGCGGAAGGCGGCAGGAAGAGGAGGAGGAGGAGGGAGAAGAGAAAGTTACCTTTCCAAGGCCTCCAGCCTCATCCCAGCCAGACGTTTCACTCTGTGGCTACCTGGAAACTGCCTCTTCAGCTCCTGTAGACAGCTCTGCAAGGGGAGGTAGAGGAGGACAGCTGGCACGCTCCACAAGTAATTCCTCTCCTCCTCAGTCATGCCACATTTTATATGGGGGGGAAATTTATTTTTGCTAAATGCACACATATTTGAAACAGGCAAGGCAGTGTTTTAATAACCTCTGAGGAGAAAAGTACAGCGTTCCAGCACTTTCCAGCGGTTTTTAATCTAGTAACCGTCCTGGGACTGTGCTTCCTGACATCATACCGTAAATATTTCCCCCTCCTCAATTGCACCGGTGTGTGTGCGTTTCCCCCACTTGATTACTCGTTATTCTCTATAATACCTGCACAGCCTGACATATTCAGTGCGGACTCCAAACAGGCAGCCTCTGTATCTCACTTAACATAGACTGTCAATAAAGCTTCCTTTAGGTGACCTATTAATCTCTCCAAGCAGAGGCTGGGGCACAGCGTCTCCACTGAGGCCCACACCAAGAGACGAAGACTTTCCACGCTTTTCTGTGGGTACCCACAGCTATTCAAGCTCCCAGAAAACCCCCCCATACCATAAGCTGCCTCGTCACGTCCCACCCTAACGTGAACCGTCCGATGGGAGACGACGTGGAGCGCGTCCATCCGTCCCATCAGAGATTACAGCTTCCACAACTTGGAAAATATTTCCGTCGGCTACGATAAGACCCTTCAGATGACGTCTTTGTGGTATAATTTCAACCACATAAGAGCAAAGCGGTCTGCAGAAACGGTCACAACTTGATGAATCTCTTAATATCTCTGGAACCCTAGGCCAAACACGGATACACATATATATATATATATATATATATATATATATATATATAGAGACACATACACAGTGCAGAAATTGGCCAAATTTCTCATATAAGTCAACTGTGATGAAGTCGCATGGCGCAGACTGCTTGGAAACGCAGACTACGAAGCTCAAGTGTCTACAAGAAAGGGGCGGGGCCAACTCACCACTGCCAGGTCATCCCGACTGCAGTCCAGCGCGGCAATCATCACCTGTTCATAAATAATCCAAACTGGGCAAGGAACACAGAGGAGAGAAGATACGCATTAAACATGCTCTTTCAGTGTTTCCAATGGCAATGTTGCACGAAAACTGACAAGCTTCTTAAATCCCTTCGAACCTAGCTTCAGCATAAAGAAGACACTGGAAAAGGTGTCATCCTTGACTATTTTTGATGACCCAGGCAGATGGAAAAGGGGGCTGCGACTGACCTGGCAGTAACAGAGGTGGGAATGCCACCACACTAAGTGTGCCACCTTGCTGCCAACAGACGGTACTGCAGTCACTCTTGCTATGTACAAAGTTCAGTGAATGCAACATTGCACAAGCCTGGTGCTCTACAGGGCTGCACCTGACGTGAAATATTGAGAATCTCTGATAAACTGGCCACCCTCTTGATTTACAAGTCTTCATTAAAAAGCAGCATTCCCAAATCCGGGCGCTGCATGGTCTCAGTATCTCACGGCCTGCCAAGGTGACCTTAATTCCCCACAAAAGTTCACTAGAGACATTTACAGATGCTTTGCCATGAGTAATGGCTGCCCGGCTCTCACTTGGGAAAATTGCTTGGCTTAGCGTTGGGCCTGTACCTCCACAAGCAGTAAGCACTTAGCGTTGGGCCTGTACCTCCACAAGCAGTAAGCACTTAGCGTTGGGCCTGTACCTCCACAAGCAGTAAGCACTTGACATATAGAGCGATTACTATTCGCTTGGTTCCCGCAGCCTCACTGCTGGTGCTAAAATTTACTTCAATAACACAATACTCACAATAACTCAAATGCTAAAAGATTTCATATAGCACATTTCATCCAAATAATCCCCTGTGAAAGAGGTTTTGGTTTTAACGTACTCATTTCACACCGCTGTGAAGCAGAAAATCAGAATTAATCAGATAGGCTAATTAATCCAATGGTTGGGATTATCTTAAGTCTCAGAAATGTGCTTGACTACAGCTGCCAGACCAAGCTGATGAAAAGCTTAAAGCTGTTAATTGAGAAAGAACAATAAAACCTCTCAAACATGAAAACTAATACAGGCAAACAAAACAGCCAGAGTTTTTCTCGCCAGTTTTATGACTCGGGCCCAGCTTTGATAATTGCTATCTCATTTCACAGCCAATTTAGGAGCTGGTTTCAATAAAAGGCGGCTGTGCAAACCGACTGCCCTTCTGCTTCAAAGGCAGCTCTCCTCCCGGCTACAATGCAGCAAAGCAAAACATACCTTTTGCATTCTTCAGGGAAGCTTCTAGAAAATTTCCCACATTAATATGGTAATCTTGCCAAATCAGTGTGGACATATACTTAATGCTAGAAATGCGGGGGAACTTGTTTACGGTCTTAAATAACACCTCCTTTAAGCATATCCTTAATGCCCTTGGTTATTTATGTTTAATGGAAACCCCCTGAGTAGTTTACAGAGCATCGCGGGATGGAAATCACATAGATTCCAAAATGAAAAGAAATGAAAAGTGAATGAAAGATTCGGTGTCCTTGGAATGAAATTTCACTGACTGAGTCTGCAGTCATGCTGGCTGTTGACACAGAGAAACTTGCAGTGCATAAAGCGCACATACTACGTGCGCATCCTTTGCAGAGAAAAGGGACCCTCCCTCATCCTAGAATCAGCTCGAGCAGTGGGGGCTCTCTCTTACTTTTGACATGGTTACAATGGGGCTTTTAAAAGGCAATGTCCATTCTATGCAATTCCATTTTTGTCTACAGTCTTTAAAGGAAATACTTTTTCTTCCTTTAAAAAATATTGTAGAGGGAAAAATAAAAAAACATTTTATACTTTTTTTCCCCTGAGGTAAACACTGTAACAATCAGAAGATATTCACTTTCAGACTGAACAGTTCACCCGGAGCATGCGGATTTTGCCTATTTGTCTGCTGCAGCCCATAGTAATCAGCTGACTGACAGGAAAAATACAAGCAAGGATTCAAATGCATGTTGAGTGAAAGGAGATTACCATGAGCTGTCAATCACTGCCAAATTCAACCAAACGGAAAGTACTAAAGACACCCACAAGTAGCTGGCTCATCCCGTCAGTGACTGACAGCACTAAGGCACAGAACACCCCTTATCTAGGATAGACTATAACCAAGGGCTGATATAATCACTTGAAAGCTTTTGCAAACATGAAGTACGATACATTATCTTACGCTCCAAACTTACTGTCATCACCGAGCTTAGAGGCATGTTCGTTTAACAACTCCTCCCCGACATCCACGATTTGTTCGCTGTTTCTGTAATTCTCATCTCTCCATTTTCTCAGCTTGTCTCGCATTTCTGTCAAAACAGAGAATGTTTACAGAATGTAAGACGGCACTGTGGCAATTTTTAAATACAGATCTATACGATGAATACTCACAGGGCAGAATGGCCTGACCTGTGAGCGAATAATCATAAGGAAAATGTCTGGCCGGACAAGGCAAACACTGATGAATCAGCAGTGCCAAACATCACACAGTTTCCCTGCATTTTACCTTTTCTTCATAGTTATTGACCAGTTGATTTAACTTCAACCTCAAGTGTCCCTTATAAGCCAGCTGTGGGCCACTAAGCAATACAAATGGTGCAATAATAACTTTAAAAGCCATTTAAATCACCTTTATGATGCTGCACACGCACACACAACAGACCAAATACTAACGGAAGCCATTTGGATAATATCACTTTGTGTAATAAAGGTGAAGCGATTTAAAAATTGCAATAGAAGAGAGAATGATAAACATAGATTAGCCAATGTTACGTATAACATCTGCATCCTGATCCCAATGCTAAGTATATAACAATATTAGTCACATTTCGCACTGATATATTACATAAAACATCAGCAAACGTACTGTATCAAAAGGCAGAACATTACAGTTCGCATTTTAACTGCCGCTTACATTTGGCTGAATACAAAAGATTTCACTTTTAAGTGCGGATAAGATAATGTGTTTATTAGTCTGCATTTCTGCTGTTGTCCACCCAGAACAAATTGCATCTGGGCAGTTTTCTCACAAAACGAACATCTAACAGATAGTGGGTATTATTTTAACCACACGCTCATCCGGAAGAAGTGGCGTATCTCAGAAGTCACGGTTAGTGCAATATATACTGTGGAAAATGGCTAAACAAACTAATACTAAATATGTTGATAATAATATCAAATACATGTAAATAGTGGCCTGTTAACATTGAAACGTGACGGATATGCCGCTGCTCCCCACTGAAGTGTAAAAGATGCATCGGAGGTAGCTAGCTTAGCACGCCCGCGGCAGCTCGATAATCAGCCGCGTTTCGTGACCCACACCGTCTGGTGTCAGCTGAGCCAGCTGCTTCGGAACCTTAACCGCCGATAAAGACTTGCCCAAAATATGTATTTTGCATCGCTAGCACTAAATATCGCATTTACCTTCCCAGGTCACATCGTACAGCTCTGACACCGACGCCATTTTTGTTTCAAACGCGAGCCGACGTCACGGGCTTCCCGGAAATCACGTGGTGTGGGCCGGCTGGGGGTGTGGGCACATTCGCAATATCTGGCCCCCCGATTAACAGCTGTCTAGGGATTTTCGGGTATGTGATGTGATGAAGAGTCGTAACTGTAGTAATGCTCTGGAAGCTCGTATAAGTTAACACCAAAATAAAACTACTTTGTAAAATGTAACATAATCATTGCATTATTATACCTAGCTGACAGAGGTAGGAGATTGCCAGGCAAACTTGTGTACAGTACTTCCCAGAAGATATGTGCATTGATACATTGATAACGTGGCTACAGGTGCATTTAACTGAATGAAGTATTTAAATAATAAAAAAAAAATCAGCATTCTACATTATTAAAACGCTTTAGAGAAATATGGTGTAAACACCCAAGAAGACACTGAACTCCCTCTTTAAGCAAACATTTTAAATAGCAGTAATAATAATGAGTTGAATGTCAGACTTTCTTCAGCTTTGTACTGGAGATGCAGGTGAAAGATGGATGGACTGAGATCAAACTTAGCTAAACCAGCTAAAAACTTGAATCTGTGTTATTCCCAGTCCATCGAAATGCTAAAAAGATGAATGTATATTCCCTGTTTATAGAATTCACCTGAAACTTGAATAACGTTGAATGATCTCAGTCCCAAATAATTCTAATTAAGTGTAATTTACTTTGGAACAACAGAATCTGATTATAACAGTAAAAAACCATCACTTTAGCCTGAAACACATGTGCTGTTAATGTACAAATAAATATGTCTTCAAGGTAACAGCTCTGTCGTTTAAAACGCCCTGAGGTTAAATGTCCGGGGGGGAAACAAATTATTGTTGAATGTACCCTGAAGGTTTGCTTTTCCCAACTCTGTCAATTACCATATCATCTACCAGCACCCCCAGTGTCTCTGTACAAAGTAGTCATTCACAAGTTCGCAGCAAATGAGGGCTGGGATTTAAGGAATGAGCTGGTTAGTGCAAGAAATATGACAGGCCTGGATGTGGCCGTACACAAAATTATGCTCTGTCTGTAACCCCCCCCCCCAAACCGGAGCATTATATCTGACAGGCCTCATCAACCTTCCCCTCCCCGTTATTATTCCTGCAAGTACGCCTAAAATGACCTCAAACCTGACTCCCAAATGTGGTCTGGGCTGCAACCCTATAACCCCTCTGGAGATGAGGGCCTCTTGGCTTTGCACTACGTAATTTATATTTAAGTTACACCTAGCAGGCTTGAAATGACGCTGGATGTGCGGTTGGGGGGCATTAAGGCGGAGGGGGTTAAAGGTCACACAAAAACAGTCGGATCTTTCTTTACAAATTGAAGGGGAGTCGTGCAGATGGGGGTCGGGTAATTGGGTGTCACCCAGAGTGACAATGAACGGAGATGACAGCATATGTGGTCTTGGTCTGTATCCCTGCTGCTTAGCTACTGGAGGAACTCATGCCCCCTCCCACACACAAACACACACAGTCACACAGCTCCACTACTTCGTCACGTCCAGATCTGCTCAAGTCAGCACCGTGGTGCTGTTACAGGAAGCCATTGCTATTCTCAAGCACGCTGTGCTGTGCCCTGCTTAGTGTAACACTGACATAACGACAATCCCGTAGCTGTGGACAGACAGGGCGTGGACTGTACCCAGCAAGCATAAACTTACGGGGTGCCCATAAAATGCCAAACTGGGGACAGCAGAAGCATGACGATTGCCCGGAACCCAACTTGTTGGGCGTCGTCTCCAGACCCGGAATCACCAGCTTTTATCCTGTGTCAGGGCACCACGTGGCCAAACACCAGAGTTGTGAAACTACATGTTTACTCCGTGCACTCTCCTAGCCAGAAATGTCACGGTGGGGGGGCTATGACCGCCCATTTTGAATAAGAACGAAATAAATTTAGCGTTGCATTCTGAAGCCGGCTGAGAACAATGCAGATAAGCGATCTCACAGTCAACAGCGTCCGACGCTGCAGCTCCGGGACGTGAACCGTTGATTCCTTTTCCTGCTTTCTCTAAAACAAGGTTGCCTTAATTGCGGATATGAGACTTGCCAATGAAGGTTTCAGTTTGCACCGCTGCAAGCTTGCACTGCCTCGTTGCTTTGAGAGGTGATTACGAGTCCCAGGCGGCCGAATTACCTTGTCGCTGGATGGATGACTTCATGTGGGTGACTGTAGCCTGCGATATCCATGGCCCCCCGACCTCCTCATATCCTGGGAGGACAGGGGGCAAGAAGGGGAAATGATGCCATGTCCCAATCTACCCCCCCCCCCCCCATGTTGTTTTAGCCAAAATTCCAAGAACAACATTAGACTGGAGGCTAGTCCCTGCGTGCCCATAAGCGCTGAGCAGGGACGGAGGGGGTCTGGGCTGCCCCCTCAGCACCCAGCGTGACGGCCGGCCACTCCTCTCGGAGCCCCTTGGCCATGTGCAATGCATTATGTGTGGTGGGGCTGTGTTAAATGGCTGCCGTTCCTTCTCATTAAATTCCATTCAAACAAGAGGCTTAACATCACGGAACACGGGACGAACCTCACGACTCGGGCCCGTTACGTTCACTCTCCAAATAATCACCCAGATCTAAAATAAACGGGAGTTAAGTACACACACTCGCACACGCACACAATCATAAACCACAGGTACCATAGCACTTGGAAGACCCAATAATATTGGGGGTTGCCAGGGCAACCATATTCCCTGTTATTTCTCTTTCCGCTGTCCCCTGCTGAAAATAAAAATGCACTAACTCTAAGGTAGACCATATCTTTTCATTAAGGTACACTGCCTCAGCAAGATTTAATCACTGGTTTTTGTGCGCACTGTAAATTTCCCTCGGCGTGGTAAAGACGTGAGCCATATGTCAGAGCTCCTATATTAAATCTGACAGTCTGAAAATCTTTCTCACTTTCGCAACACCGCAAATGGTTATATTTGTTCACCAGGACCTGATTTTGGTGTCTGTGCACCACCAACTGAGCACGAAAAGCCCAGTATGTGGGGGAGTTATTATAAGCAGCTGAACTTGTTAAAAGTTAAATATATGCAGAACATTGGCAAAGTTGGAGACTTTATATTCTTTGTATTAGTAATTTATGAGGTTTAAGTAGCATGGACAAGTCTCAGATGTTGAAATGTCCTCCCTGATAGAGACCTGCTCACTAGCTGAGATATCTGAGCCTATATGCCCCTCCAGACAGGAAATCCTGTGTGAGCAAAAAAATCTGATCCGATCCAATCTGATCAGTGACCCCCAGTCTGTGGCATGTCTTGACTTCCTTCAGTAGGTTGTCTTGAACAGAAAAGTCCAGGTCATAGTTCAGCTTCTATAACCAATTTCTCCCCTTTGATTCTGAAACACTTGTACAGACTGCCGTGGATGTTACAAAAGGAACACGATAAGTATTACAAATGAGAGGCGGCAATTTACCCTAACTCACCCATCTGGAAATTTTTGGGTGCATTTTTTTCCCTTTGGCTTAAATGAATAATGTGCAGAAACAGGCAGGCACTCCCCATCCTCCCCCAAGCCCACTCTGAATTTAAAGATTTGTTTTATTGGTTCTCTTTTAAACTGTTCCCCTGCTACTTTCCAAATGTGTAGAAATGTAACATAAATACAGGCTAACTCAAATCACTCCCAAATCTAGAAAAAAGCCAAAGAGGGAATTAAAATAAATCACATTTCTCATCCAAAATGAAGGGTTTTTTGGAAGGATTTCCTAGTTTACTTTAACAGGAGGAATATTTTGAAGCTTTTATCATATAAAATGGAATACAATATAAGTAAAGTCAATCTGACAGACATTGTCATTCAGGCAGTTACAGAGGCATTGTTAGAATCAGTTGGAGTAATCAGCCCTTCTGCTCATGGCTGGTAGTGTGACATTTATTTAGTGGGGACATCAGACACAAGGAGGAGAATAAGAGCTCATGGGAGTTTTACTTACACAAAAATGTTGTGAGGGCAGAAGGAAAAATGATTGGATCAGAGAGATAACCAATCAGATTGTATAGGAGGTGTGTCCAAGCAACTAGAGGAGGTGGGGCCAACCAATCAGATGTCTGAATTTTTCTTTCTGCCCTCAGAACATTTTTGTGTAAGTAAAACTCCCACGAGCAGAATAAGAATACAATCAATACACAGAAGAGACTTGACAGTAATCAAAGGAATATTTTTTTCCTCTAATCTTGTGATGTGTTCCCATGTGGCCAAGCACTATAAAAGATTTTAAACTGGCATGATGAGAAAAATTCAGCAAGACAGTTTTATAAACAGGACTTCCTTCTCAGTGAGCTTTGGTTTGTACGCTTAATAATCTATCAATGGTTTGAAGCATTTGTGAGAGTAATTTTATCTAAGAAAGCTGTGAAGCAGCAAGTGAATTAGACCACCAGCCCCCCTCCACCACAAAAATGTTTATATAATAAAAGAAATGAGCCTTTCTTTCCAACAGGCTTCCTCAGATGTGTGCACACCTTGGAGGGTCTCTGAGGTGAGACGGTGTTTACGTGTCACCTTCAGTATACGGCCCTAACATGTGGTGTGCAGATGCCTGCTGTCTATAGGACAAGTTCGGCTCTGTTTCAGGGCTCCGGCAGTGACCGCTGGCTTCAGCCTCGGGTTGGTGATTTGTGTGGGAGTGCGCTGGTAGTGAGGCCATGCATGCCTCAATTCCAATCCATGGAACTCTCGTGAGTTCGGACCTGGCTGGTCGACTTCTTCAGGTCGGATATGAGAACGACGGACTGGCTTTTGTCATAGTTCTCCTGCCCCTCTAGACCGTCTCTACGTCTAGTCGCAAAGTTTGATGGAGAGCTGAGTTTCCCAGAATCCTCGCTAAGTTTGGATTAAGCCTGTCATGTTTACCTGTAACTTCATCACTTTTGTTTTTGCATGCAAGCGCATGTAATGCATCATAGGAACCTTGACAGGGAACAGTAAAAGCAACATAGCCTTACTTTGTAATTGTTAAATAGCCCCTCCTCCCGTTTCAGACAGAGCTATGACGGAGCTTCCTGTATATGGCCATAAAGCTGGCTGGGGAGATGCCTGTTAGCGACCTCTTACAACCCCCCCTGCTTCCTAAAGCGGGCTATCAACCCATTTTAAGGGGCCAAAAATACTTTATTTACGATGGCGAATGCTGGACTGCGTTTTATGAGCTCCCACTCTGTGCCACTTTGTCCATTAGCATGCTTTCGTGATGTTTCTGGTAGTGCCCACTCCATGGTGGGAGGGATCTCCCTCACCCC